TATGATAACGCGCTGCTTGCCACTACACAACCTCCACCAGACTTCCCGACAGGAAATTTAGTAGCAGTATTTGTTTGCATTTCTTTTTCATTTAGATGGAAATAATCGTTGCCCGTAATGATTCTGGCACTTTATGAAAATATCTTCATGCTGACCGTTTTCCAGTACTAGTTTGATAGAGTAACGAGCTCATGAGCAGGAACGTGGTTATACTGCCTGCTTCATCTAAATAGGTCTGTTGGTGATGGAAAAAGAAATTACAATTTGTTAAAATCATCACAGGCATTCTATTGTTTTTTACGGTCTAGTGGAAGGGAAATGCAAGAAAACTTATTTTCCGGAATTTCGAAGACCGCAATTGTTCTCACCCTTGTTGTTGTTAATTCTAGAGAACTTGGTAACTGTAAACTCTGGAAAGCTCATTTTAGCGAGGATATGTTACCTTCAAACAGCTTTCGTTTCCAGCTCGAGACCTATTTGCGGCTGTGGTGGATGTGCTGCCCCGTGAAAAAGCTTTACGCTTAATGCTGGATTGGAAAACGAACAACCGTAATTACGAAAATGAACTTGAAATGTCAGTAGAGGAACCTCAACTTCACACGGCCGTACGATTCATTCTGGAACAGGCTGGAATCATAATAGAGGAACATAAGAGGCTTCCATGGCGAAAGGTAGAGGTTATCTCCTTAATTTTAGAGTCTACGTTTTGCAATTCTGAGAACAGTTCAGAAAAATTCTTGGGAACTTGATCATCCTGATAAGCCTTTTTGTTTATTTGTTCGTATTTTGAATCAGATACCATGCTGAAAACTTTAAAGACCGGAAACTCAGGCCTTTTCGGTAGTTATTTGTTGAGTTGTCTCATGTGGTTTTTATTTTTGATGATTAACTTTATCTCAATCACAAATACTATGATAGATACACACGATACGGTAATTGTAAGCACATTGGTAGATATAATCAATAATGGTTTTGTATTTTAAGAAAACCACCATGAACGAAATTTGTGAAACGGATGCGAAACAACGACGGCCAAAGGCTTCAGCTGAAGAGGTGGGTGTTCTTGAGTTATGTGAAGTAAGGTGTGTAATCATTGTATATCGATTGTTGGCTGGAAAAAACTCAATTTCCAACTCCTGATGTAAACTGCAAAAGAGCTGACGAGAGTGGGATTCGAACCCACGCCCCCGAAGGGACTGGTGCCTTAAACCAGCGCCTTAGACCGCTCGGCCATCTCGCCACGGGTGTGGTACTTGCAGGCGTGTTCATCAATGAAAATGCGTTGAGTTTTAATTTTAGATTGGCTAATTAACATCGGGATGACTGTGATACCTTTGTAATTATTGATATAAATGTTTTCTTGTATTCCTGATTATTTGAAAAAATTTCTCCTCTTTGGCTCTTGCAAGAATGAGAGGTGCCAGTTGATTTTTTCTCAGTGATACTAGTCAGATCAAAATTTGAAGAAATCTGACGCCAGTGGAGAATATGAGAAGAGCAAAAACGACTCGAAATAAAAAGTTGACTCATAAATCACAGATCATGCGGAATGTTTACGAATACAGTCGTTCGACATTTGTTTGTTTCTGTATCGTTCTTGCATAAATATGCGTCAAAATGGAACGAAAGAAGGGGAAGTTATCCAGTGCTATGCAGTCACAAGTCACCTGATATACTTATTTGATCGATGGCCTATTCAATTCAGATTTTGCGATTATGATTTCCAACTTCTATGAATTTTTGCGTTATTTCTATTTCATTGAGGCTGGTAAGTGGTATTATAAATTTTTGGTAATTGTAATTTTCAACTGCATGGCGCATTCTCTTACCAGTATACTCATGCATTCTCTTTTGTTGTAGATATAGCTGAATAATCCACATATTTCAATCTTCATGCCTTTGTCCACTTCATCACTACCTCTTCCCTTCTGTTCCTACGATTCAAGACGGTCATTCCCAAGCAATTTATATATTTATTTGTAAACTCTTTCTGGAAGTGTGACGTTTGTTTTTTTTCCGTGTACCTTACTTTTTTGATCTGAGTTTGTTAGTCAAAAGACATCTTTGAGTGCGTTTGTTTACGTGAACGCACGTGGGGGTGAGATGTATAAACTGGTAGCAAATGTTATTCACGCTTTCTTACCCGCTCTCCCATTTGAACAACATAGAAAGTCATTCTAGTTGTTTGTTGTTTACTAACAAATTGTTCCATCAAAACGAAGCAATTGTGTCCGGTCTCATGTCTTAAATGTATCTTTTCGCAGTTTTTTCAAAAACATCGGCTTGGCAATGATTGCTTTTATTCTGAGAAATATTTTCGCTTTTCGAACGGAAAAGGAAATATCTCTTCGGTTTCATATTGAAAATAGTATACACATGTACATGGGCTATAAACAAAATTTTTTGGGAAAGCGGTTAGCGGCAGTAGCTTAGCTGCCAACCTGATAACATTCCTTCCAGTTTCTCTGACACCCCTTTTTACCTAGTGAAGGTAACCTGACTAACCAGACAATGACTGATCACGAGGTTTTTTAAAATTTTGATCAAATTCCATATCACAGTCATCTTGTTGGAACGTGATTCCACTTTCGTCCTCATTTTTGTCCTCTCCTTCTTTTCTGTGTTGTTAACTCTGTTATCGCATCATATCCTACTTTTCTTTTTTTCTGATATAATTACTTTTTTGCCACCTTATGCAATTCTCTACGTATGTTTTTCCTCTTCTTTTATTGTCTTATCCGCATACTTTAGGTTTTGCAAAACGTTTTCTTCAATGGAATTTTGAGAAAATGTGCTAATATGCACTGGTTGTAAATGTTAAGTAATACTGGGACAGTGAGGCTTCATGAGTGATCTCCTGTTCTATTAGACAAAATTCTGTTGCAAAACAGCTGACGAGAGTGGGATTCGAACCCACGCCCCCGAAGGGACTGGTGCCTTAAACCAGCGCCTTGGACCGCTCGGCCATCTCGCCATGGAAACGAGTGCAACATTTGTCTTTGATCAGCGGTAGCCCGATGGCACTGCAAAGGTGTCTTAAACTTGCATCTGCTGCCATCTGTTGAAAATGTAACCCCTCATCATTCTCTCAGTAATGTTGAAGTATGTGTCATATCTCTCAACTCCTACGTTTTCGATTTTCGAGAGAACGTTATTTTCGTCCAACCTTAAAGTTCGAGTCGGTCGCATTCAGAGCTTTTTTTGCTAAAAAACTTTTTTATTGTATATTTTTAATCATTCTTTACATTATGCTATTACTTTCGAATATTATTTTGCCAACTCGTGATGGTACAACGCATAGCAAAAAACTCTTGATATTTTAGTTTAAAATTTATTTCTGCGAAGAACAGTCATGCCAACTTTCCGTTTCTTTTCCAGAATTTCAATCGAATATTGAAATTTCGTGAAGCAATCACTGGTGGGCAAGCGAAAATTGGTGTGAAATCTGAGAAGACGCCAGTCAATGTTGTGGTCAAAATTGATTCAACGGCTCCACTACATGGGAATGTATATGCTGTGATCGGTGCCATTCATGCCTCATTCGAAGAATGGTCTTTGGATTGTGGATTATTCCATCTGAAATCTCAGATCGTGTACTACCTTCACGCTGCTGCAAGGTTTGTTTTTTGGAACATGTTGTATTACTTCTAATTGATTCTAAAATAGTTGTCGTAAGAGGTTCTCCTTATTATGAGTTCAGAGAAAAGAATTTATACTTGCTATGATAGGTCATGTCTTGATAAGATTTCTCGGTAGATTTGAAGATTTTAATATTTTTCTTTTGATATTGGGAAGGGACGCAGCCACAAAGCCCATTGCCCTTGAATCGCAATCCAGTCCTGGTCGAATTTACGGAGAAGGATCAATTCACTTACTGATTTCTTTTCCCCTCCAAATTATTGTCGAAATCTCTGCTCAACATTTACTGGAATTCCGGGTATGGTGAAAGGCATGGCGCATCCCAAAGTAGAACGCTCAGCAGCAGCAACAGTCGTTACAATTTCCAGGTCGCTCGTTTTTCAAAAATGAGCATAAACAGCTGACAGTTTCGTGATTCAAAGTTGTAAGCTTTTCCTTAAACAGTGAGACTTCAGCTGGAGGAAGAATAAGATCGATTTTGAGCCACTGAGCTTTATAGAATTATCTTCCTAGTTCTCGAATTTTATTGAAATCAGCTTTCATCCCCATGAAAATGCCTTACTTTCAGGAAGGTCTTTGAGAAAACCTTTCATTTCTGTTCAACGATTTTTTTGGAAATAAGAAAATTCCAATAAATTAAATATCAAGTCTATAGATATAGTATCTTTGAACAGTTTTTTAATATTTGTTATAAATAAATTACAGATAAGGATTCTTTCGGTTCGAAAGCTCATTATTTTTCAGTGTTCTTGGCCTAGAGGCATATTCGTCTCACTATAAGGCAGAATTCAATGACTGCTCAGATTGCATTTACGAAGTTCAGCGAAATGATGGTTTGGGTGGGTATTCACGTTCATCCTTCACATACGATTTTATTTCCCTTTTATTCGAATGTCTTTGTACCGATTTTATGTCATCGGTAGAAAATCCCCTCGATTCACACACTGACGCTTTCCTTTTACTGGAAGTGAAGTAGTGTTACATCGAAAGCTTTGGCCCAAGCTGAAAAAATGAGGGTAAATTTTTCCGCCTTTTCATTCTATTTATTTTTCTTACTCAATTTTAACCAAAACCTGAGAGCTATCACTTTTTTTTCCGTGCATTCTAGCAGTGGACGAATTTCCATCACCATATGGTCATATGGCTCGCAATTTCTCAGTGGATCATCCGTTTTCGTTGTGGAAATCGGTCGCTGATTTACTTCAGCTTCATTTGACACATTCTCTCGCCGGCAGTACAAGCAAGGTGGCAAGATTGCTGACAGGTGATTACAATGATTTCTACAGAAACTTTCCATGGCGCTGAAGAAGGAACATTAACACTTTTTGAATTTTATTGCAAAAAAAAATACTGATCACTTTTTCTTTAGAATCCGTTTAATGCGCATTTCTTTCTATATGTTCTGTAAACAGGTTTGTGAAAAAAAATGGAAACCAGGGAAGCCGATGACGTTCAAAGAAAGTAACAGAAAAAGTGAAAAAAATTAAAATGAGAGAAACATAGCAAAAAAATTAATTAATCAATAAAGTTAATAGTTAATACACGCATAAGTAATTTATCGTTTTCTTGTATGATTCTTAGTGATTCTGTAATATAATCAGTCTTTCAGTACTTGGAGTTGGGTTGGGAACTGGTAGGCTGGCACTCATGACTGATGTCCATCGTTTGTTGGGAAGAAATTGGGAACGTCGCCTTCGTCTACGACCTGATCAAGTGGACAAAGTAGCCGAAATAATGTTCAGCAAGACAAGAACTCCTGCGCAGAAGTGAGTTTTCCGATGTGTCTAGGCTGTGACAAAACAAGGACGCTAGGGATTGAACAGATGAGGTTCCATACTCTGATCGGTGTCCAGTTATGGGAACGGTCGAACGTTTGGAGATTCTTATGGAGATGGGTTTTCAAGGCGTACCAAGCCTTCGCTTTTAGGGCATCAAATCTTGAGATCGAGCTCGTAGTATTTACCTCTAAGCTTTTGATGTTCGATTTATCTGTGGGTGTCCGACCCTTGCAAAGGAATGGACGTTCTTTAGTTACGTTTTGGGGCTCTTTGGTAATAAGTATGGTGGCTTAAGACAGTGTGTATGGAATCTCCCACCCTGGTACTCAGGTAAAGTACATCAATACTTCATGGCCTCTCGTCGTTCTAACCCTATCTGAGCTGTTCGGAGCCCACAGTTCGGTCTTTACTCGAGATAATTCGTTAATTCCAATTCGAGGTACAATAGTATAGAACATGGAAATGAAGCTTAAGCTGAACACTACGAGGGCTGCCTTTTATATTTTGAGATTTGGCAACAGTAGTGTAGCAATCTAGCAACTGACATCACTATCGTAAAGTTTGAATATTTTGAGGATACGTTGCGAAATTTGAGCGCGATTTTTGTTGTTTACACTAAGTTATAAG